ATATACAACCATTCCCCGCATTCAATTTAGAATAGGCTTTTTGGCATCATTGACAGTTTTTTTTTTCAATAAAAATGGATCTACTCTTAAATTAACTTACCTTGTCACTGGTCATTTTCAAAATTTTGTTAAAAGTAATAATTGTGAACATAAGTTCACTGAGATCAATATTAAAATGATCCCTGAGTTTTTGATAAGATCGTCAAATCTGTGGGTTTTTTTTTTGTTTTTTGGTTTTTTTTTGGTTTGAAGACCATATAAGCCCCATTATTTGCTGTGTCTTCATATAAAGTCGATTATATTTTTTCAAAATCTTATGCATGAGAAGAAAACACTTGATGTAAGCTTCAACTGGACATTAAGATACCGTATATCGACGACGCATTATCAATTAACAACATATTTTGGTACGATATATCCCAGTGTGCTTGAAAAAAAAGAAAACCAGAGTCTGACTTAGTTGTTTTATATTTCTTTTGCTACAAATAGACTTTAATGATTACTTAACAACGAAGCATTATGAAACATATTGAGATAACGAACAAATATCCATAAAACATTACAAAACAGGAATAATGCAAACATGGACCTCCAAGACATCAGATATGGGATCAGGTGCCATGGAGGAGTGAGCATCCCCTGATGACCGGTCACACCCAAAGTCTGCTTCTTGTCATGATCGGGAAATTACGGAAAAATCTGTCTTCAATTCAGTGTAGAAATAATGAACTAACGATAAGTATGAAAAACGTCAGTCAGCATTTGACTGAAAGATAAATTGTATTTGCTGACAAGGTTATTGTATCGACCATAGAACTTACGAAATGGTGACTTTAAACGCGACTTCTGATATTCTTGTTTCATCAACTGTTTTGTCAGTAATTTATCTCGTTTTAGAAATTATTCATACGTAGAGCATGCTCTTGCGTATCGAAACAACTGAGATAAATAATCGCCGAATGCAGGCGATGAAGGTATACTGCATAAGTAAGGGAAATTGACAATTTAAAAGTTAAAGTCGTCACGTTTATCATAGGGCTTGCTTGTTAGATTACCATTAACGTCTCTTTCAAGTAAAATATTCAAATATGAAACAGATGTGTGAGACTCTGTGGTATCCTTTATCGCAAGTTCACCAAGATATATCGTATCGACATAAGAATGAAAATTACCCTTGTTAATTGACAATACGTCGTCGATATATCTATATGTCGAGTTGAAAGCCACAGCAAGTGTTTTCTTCTTTTCACACATAAGAGTTTGACCAAATTCTGCTTCATAAGAATAGAAAATATGTATCTTTGCTTCTATGGATTCTTACGAAGTGTCGGAATCCAATGTATATATAGTAGTTCAAAATCATTTTGGTTCTTTGGGATATTAAAAATATTCAAAACTGACATATCATTTTGAAGAATTTCCTCCTTAGAAAGGGAACTATGAGTATAAGTTGGATTACCACTTGTAGAATTAAATCCAAGTTCTTCTAAAATAAATTCATATAAAGACCATTACAATAAAGAAAATGCTGTTACCTACTAAACGTGATATCTCTTAATTTTCAATCTTCGACATTCCTTACTTTTGTAGCAATAGACCCTTATCACCTGTATATGGTGTTAATATCTTAGTTGATTTCATACGCAAGAACATGCTTTATGGACAAACAATTCCTCAAACTTCCAGTATGTAAATTAGTGACAAATTTTTGAAACAAGAATATCAACTGTCTCGATTAGAGTCACCATTCGCAAGTTCTGTGGGCGATACATTGACCTTCTTAGCAGATACAATCTAACATCAAGTCAAATGCTGACTGATGTTTGATACATTTTTGGCCAATTACTTACACACAAAATCGTCATCGCTTTTTTCGTTCTTTCCCGATCATGACAAGGAGCAAACGGCGGATGTGACCGGTCGACAGGGGATGCTAACTCTACCATGCCACATGATTCCACCTCTGATGTTGTAGAGGTCCATATTTTTTTAAATGTTTGAATGGATTTTTGAGCTTGAATAATGATCCTATTTCTCCATATATTTTTGAAATTTAATTGAAATTTTTAGGCTTGACATTTATCATATTTTACACGATATTATCTTGGTAGTAAATATAACCTTTTAAATGTAAAATAGTTTGAAAAATATGTAACACTGAACAGATCCTGCAAATTAATGCGCATGTATTGTTTGACCTTTTTAAATTGAAAGAAAGGTATCAACTTTGGGGGGATTAGAAACCTATTTACGCAATTCATATTTTAAAAATCTAACACTGATTAGTTGGAAGTACTTACTAGTCTAAAACAAGACAGAAAAGGTAGAACCTTGGGAGAAGTCAAAACATACAAGTATTTAGGGAAACTGTGTGAATTTTATTTTAATTTCACTAAATTTTTATTGTTTGTTAGCATCGGTTGATTTATTGTATAACATTTGTTTGAACAATATTATATACTATATTTCTAGCACGCTTTGGAATTATTTTAATTCGTTGGGCTCAAAGTTTATGGGTAAGCAAACTTACGTTGCTTCATGGGGAGGTCACTTCGTCGTTAACTTATATACTGAAGATTTAATGAAAAAATATGTTGACAATATAATTGTTCGTTCGGATGTACTTTCGTAGTTAAAGAATACCCATGAAATCCATGAACATTGGTGTCACATTTACTCTGTATGTATGTTTTTATTTACTTTTGCATAATACTCAGTTATCCTGTAGGTGACCTCTACTATTTTATCCTTTATGGAGCCTCAATTCTTTAAAACTATTTAACGGGCACGGTTGAGTAAATCACTCTCTTTTCCTGCCGTGTTACGCTAAAACATGCACGGGTGATAATTATGTGAATTCTATCCATAGCCAGTTAAATTTTACTTCATTTCTACAATAGTTTATAAGTACAACTACATTTGATACAGACACTCAGCTTCTGAGATGAATACGAGTTTTATTTATTCTCTTATTCAGTTTTTGTTAATTTCAAGGTCCTGGGTAACTTTGTTCAAATGGCATGCTTTTAATTGTGTTTAATGTTCCGTAAATGTTGAAATTGTTCATTATGTTAAGCGTGTTTGTATAGTTTTCTTTTCTGTAAATAGTTGTTTTAGTAGTAAACGTTCGCTGGTTTTCTAGTATGGTGTTCCGTTTGTGTATCGTTTGATATACGTATCTAGTGTATATTTGAGTATAGCTCTACTTGAGTATGTGTAGTGTTACATAAATAAGTGTAACGAGTAATTAAGTGCAAGTTTGTGTAAAAACGCAGTACTGCTATATGCTGTATGCTATATGCTATAAGCTATATGCTATAGGTTGTATGCTATATGTAAAGTATGGTTAACCATTTGCGTAATAATTTGTGTAATAACTTCTTACTTAATAGTGTGTATTGTTTCTTTATGAGTAGGTCCCATCCCGAGACAGGGAGTGTGCGGAACGAACGTGTACGAGTCCAGTGAATCATTGTAACTTTAATAACAGAATATACATCTGAAACCTTTTTGACTTTTGTTTTATTGAATATTCAAGTAGAATGGATTAGATGCTTGGTCATCCGGCAACAATTGGTCCCTAACGAACATTGATGATCAAACAGAATATAAATGGAAACAATTCTCTGGGTAGAATTGTAAGGCTATTGTAAAAAGATATCAAATCACTTTGTAAATTCTTAAAAAATATTCTTCCACCACAGGAAACAGATATTAATTCTAGAAATAAATAATACATGTACTCATATCATTGTTCCCCTTTGATTTTGTAAGAAGTACATGTATTAAATTGTGTATTGTATTTTGCAATGTATTATATGAATGTGTTATAAAATTGACTTGTAACCAATATTATTTGAAATACACCACTTTTTAAAACAATTTTTCTTATTATATGATTGAATAATTTCCATCTCTCTGATTGGCTGAGATCCAACTATGTTAGAAAAATACTACGTTGTATTGACCTGCACGTGACGTTCCAGGTGAATACAAGGATTTATTTCCACTACATTGATCTAAAAATAGATCGGGAAATTCCAAATTGATACAAATTGTTTTGGAACATAATCGATATATTTTCGGGTGAGTGTGGTAAGAGGGGATGCAGGAAACCCCCTCCAACACTTTTACTGAACAACAATTTTTACTTTTTGGCAGTCAGTTTTCCCTGATGACTCCTTCCTTTCAAAATTTATCCTATAAAATAGACTGACATTATATTTTTTTTCATAGCAACTAAAATTGATAAAAAAACCCCTTCAAATTGATACGACTAGTAAGGTTTATTTACATTTTAATTCTGCTTCTCTCTTGTATTTAGCTAGGACTTAATTAAATGCAAACAAGTAATGAGCTGTATCATTTTATCAGTGAATCATATAATAAAACAATTATTGCTGTTTTTTCGGTCAATACAATGATTTAGCCATCTTCGAAGTACAATATTCACCTCGCCCTTCGGGCTCGGTGAATATTGTACTCCTCAGATGGCTAAATCATTGTATTGACCTCATAAAACAGCAATAATTGTATAATATTACCAAGATCTTTTTATTGGTAGATATTGTACTTCGGGTTCGCTGCAATGATGATTTGTATCTTTAAAAGAGGCAGATATGCACATTTTAACATTGTTTAAGATGTCCGTGTTTGTTTTTGTCCCATGTATGAACACGACTTATTTAAAGTCATAATACATGTATCATTATGTATAGTTTATGAATTGTTATGCCATTATTTCGATGCCTATTCACATTAAATTTTTTGATAGTCGCTTTGTTTTTCCTCTTAACATCATGTTCAATGCCATATGTGACGCTCTAGAAATATCCTCCAAGACTAAGAGACTAGGAGGGGACGGTCGATAACAACGATATGTAGAAATTTATTTACTTATTTACACTTCGTTATTTTCATATGTTTCATTTCTTCCATTGAATATGTTATTAGTATTAGTGTGCAAAAACCTGTTCGGAGTATGATTACAGCTGTATACCATATGATTTTATTTATTTACTTCTTTGAAGCTGGTAAGTATTCTTCTGTTTATACTAGTCTAATAACCATGATTATATACAGATAAGTATTTGTGATACAATCGATCATATGCAAACCACAGTTCCATCATTGTCTCCCAAGTACACATTTACATAAAAAAAAGCACCTTCTCTTCTATAAACTGAAATGTGAAATAGATACATTCTTATTTCTTTGGTTTGGCAGGATCAGAAATTTTGCGTTGGACGGTTGATTTTGTGTGTATTTTTGCACTTGAGTATCCACTTCTGGTAGAACTTGTGGATGTGGTACTACCTTCCCGTTTATGTCTGTGTTCTGTATGAGTCACTTTTCCGTTTATTTTAGGGTTCTCAGTCACGCTTTTCTTTTTAAGTTTCGGTGTTCCTTCCGGGGAACTCTTCACTGAATCTTCTTCATCCTCCTGATGTTCCTCTTCTCTTTCTTCTATAGCTGGAGTCAGTTTGCCTGTTTTCTTGTTGATATTCAAATCTTCAAATTCGTGTGATTTTCGCCTTCCCCTTTGTTTTGCTTTCTTTTTGGCTAAAAGAGATAAAATATAGGGTTTTTAGACATACATATAAAATAAGTTTCCCCAGCCATTTATTTTTTTTACTTTCAGGAAGATTTTCCTCACCTTTTGCATCTGCAATCGTTGACATCATTTCTTTTCCCATGTAAATCTTATGTTTCCTCCAAAACTTCAGTAAGTCACCATAATATTCATCATTTGGTTCTAAGTCCATGTCTGCAACATTCAAAATAAAGCATTTTATGTATCTTTTTTCATAATTTTTTTTAATCTATTAATTAATAGAATATCATGTATCTTTTTTTCAAAAATTTTGAAATTCATTCATTGTGTTCCCTTTCTAACTTGCAACGTATACTAATTTTAATATTATAGTGAAATTTATATCAAATGAGAGAGAGAAAGAGAAGAAGAGACCGAAGTACAAATAAATATATATCCAGACATGATGTATTTGTTTTGGTATGTTGGAGACAGTTTATCTCGAAGTATTGATAGTCCATATTCCAAAAGCTTGAGGCTCTCATTTCTGATGACTATATATTCACATTAGCTGTAGAGTTTACTTAGAACTATCTAATTATCAAGCCATTTATAGGTTTTCTAACTGATTTTATAACCATTTATTTCCCTGCCTCTGTCGCGTCCTCTTAATCTAAGCCATTAAGTTCATGTAATTCATCTTGATATTAATTCATTCTGTCTTGAGTATAACGGATGTGTCAAAGTTTCGATGGGGGAGTGTTGAGTTCTAAAAACGCTTTAGTCGCATTGTGTCGCTGGAGTTAATTTTGAAAGATAGATATGAAAGAAATTAAAAGTCCACCCCCCAAAACGAAGTTCAGTCTTTATGATTAAGAACGCTCATAACCTCTCGACTTGAGTTGAAGGATGGATGTCTTTGTTTGGATAAGTATTCTTTACACGTATTGAAACATGGGTTGTCCATAAGAGAAATCAACATGAGATTGATTCGTCTCGGGGAAACAGAAATCAGTTAGAACATTTTGGTTCTAGTACAGATTACGGAAAGGTTAAAAATGCTACATCATATCTCAAACCCACAAAGCCATTGTTGGAATACCGTTAGGGTATATATTTCCGGGGGGGGGGGGGGAGATTAAAAAGGAAAAAACATAATTTACAAGACAGCAGATGTCAAATAGATGCAAAAAGTCCACTTTTGGCCCGATTTTCATGAAATAGTAGCCTTTTTGTGTTACATGAAATTTAAAATGATCTTTAAGACAAAGAGAAAATTAACGCAGAAAGTGAAAAAAATAGTTCAATATCGGTATCAAATTCTTATTATGTTCCCCAAACGAAGTTGGGGAACATATTGTTTTTACTCTGTTTCTTATTATTATGTTCCCCAAACGAAGTTGGGGAACATATTGTTTTTACTCTGTTTCTTATTATTATTAAGGTCTTCCGACTTCCTTCGGAAGACCTTACTGTTATTCGTCTGTTTTTTATTATTATTATTATTATTATTTTTCTTTTTTCATAGTTAGGGCGATATCTCAGCTGTGTGTGGACGGATTTCCAAGATTTTTACAGGGATGATGCATCATGAGAATATCTCCAGACGTGTTTTTCATTTTTTCAAAATTCACTTTCGTTCGCGATTTTTGGGGATTTTTGTATTTTTTAAAAGGCATTTTGTCCAGCAGTTTTCTCGAGAACGGCTAAAGATATGAAAGTGAAACTTACTGAGGTGATAGATCATCGAACTCCATTATGGGGAACGACCTTTATTTTTCGTCGTCGGCGCTTCCGGTCGCTAACGGAAGTGAATTCAAAAAGTCCCATTTCTCAACTTTTTTGTTTTTCAATATTTTTCTTTAGAATTTAGAGGGTTTATAGTGTGTCTTATGAGAATTCTAAATATGTGTTTAGTAACTTGATGCGCGCATCTATTAAAAAGATATGTCCGAACCAAACTTTGTCGCACTGTTGGGGGTTCGAATCCCGGCGGGGGCGTTGCAAAAATTTTTTCTTTGTTTATGTCTTTTTTCACTTGCAAATGACTTTAATCTCTTTTATAACATGGATGGAATATTTTGCCGATTTTTAAAAGCTATTTTTTGAGATATTTTGAGGAATACCTGTAATTATCATGATGTATATTGAGAGACTGCTGTGAATAAACGTAAACAAAAAATACATTCTGAAATCTATTTCATGGGATGACGCAGGATAGAACTCTAACGAAAAGTCGGTCGGAAGACCGCTTGTTGCTCCAGCAACAAGAACGCATCTAGTTATTATTATTTTTCTTCTTCCTGGGAAAATTTTGTCCACGAATGATCTTGTAAACTACACATCCGAGTAAGGTGAAATGTTTTTAGGGTCAGTAGACATGTTATGTAGATTTGCCGAACGAAGGTCATTTTGCGCGCACGTGCTTGCAAGAGCGTGCACGTGCAACACGAAAAATGACCAATATAATTGATATAGATGTAACCTTTTCATTTTTTGATGAAATGCGTTGAAACTCATAATATAAGGACATATTAGTAGCATAGACAAGATGCCATGGTCAAATTAGCAAGATCTCACGCGCATGCACGTGCGCTTTGCTCTGATTGGCTGAAACTAAAGTCTCAACATCTTTCTTGTTTTTTTGACGAAATCCTTTGAAATTTTGAATATAGCCCTGCATTAGGATATGCTACAACATGTTATAAAGCAATTATCATGAAAACACGTGCATGCACGTGCGCTGCAATCTGATTGGCTGAAACTTTAAATAGCTATAACTCCCTTGGTTTTCAACCAAACAGGATGGGATTTGGAACATAGATATATATAATGGACTTCAACAAGAAGGTATGGTCACCATGCACATGCATACACGTGCATGCACGTGCGCTGCAAAATCTGATTGGCTGAAACTTTAAATAGCTATAACTCCCTTGATTTTCAACCAAACAGGATGGGATTTGGAACATAGATATATAAAATGGACTTTTAAAAAAAGGTATGGTCACCATGCACATGCATACACGTTCGTGTACGTGAGCTGCAATCTGATTGGCTGAAACTTTAAAAAGCTATAACTCCCTTGGTTTTCAACCAAACAGGATGGGATTTGGAACATAGATATATTAAATAGACTTCTACAAGAAGGTATGGTCACCATGCACATGCATACACGTGCGTGTACGTGAGCTGCAATCTGATTGGCTGAAACTTTAAACAGTTATAACTTCCTTGTTTTCAATCAAACAGGATGGGATTTGGAACATAGATGTATATAATGGACATCTACAAGAAGGTATGGTCTCCATGCACATGCATACATGTGCTTGTACGTACGCTGCAATCTGATTGGCTGAAACTTTAAACAGTTTTAACTCCCTTGGTTTTCAACCAAACAGGATGGGATTTAGAACATAGATAGATTTAATGAACTTCTACAAGAAGGTATCGTCACCATGCTCATGTATGCACGTGCGTGCACGTGAAATGGGTAAAATCAAAAATACACTTGAATGAGCGAATTTTTTAATACTTTTGGATTAAATACTTTAATATTTAGTATATTAAAATATATAGATTGTGTAGACAAGATGATATGGTCATTACGTGTATGCCTTCACATGCGCACACATGCAATGCTAAAATTTGAATGAGCATGGTACATTTCTGGGTAAACATTGTTAAAATTTCAAATGCATAGAGTTTGTGTTAATAAATGAAGCTTACAGGGAATATGGCACCAAAAGGGAGTTGGGGAGCGTTTGGGGAACATCTGTAACGGTCCCCGTTACAATTAGCACTAGTTATTATTATTATTATTTTTTTTCTTATTTGTTCTCCGGTACTTTTTTGTCCGCGAGTGTTCTCAGAAACTGTTCACCCAACTGACCTAAAACCTTTTTAGGGTTAATGGGTGTGTAGTGTAGGTGTGCGGAACGAAGGTCATTTTGCGCGCATACGCATGCACGTGCGTGCGCGTGCAACACGTGAAATGACTTGTATACTTAATATAGCTATAACTTTTACATATTTAAATGAAATGATTTGAAACTTATTATTTAAAGATATATTAATAGTGTAGATAATGTGACACTGTCAAATTAGCACGAACTCACGCGCATGCACGTGTGCTTCGCTCTGATTGGCTGAAACAAAAATCTCAATATCTTTTCTGTTTTTTGACGAAATACTATGAAATTTAAAACATAGGCATACTTTAGGATGTTCTACAATATGATATATAGAAATTGTCATGAAATTACGCGCATGCACGTGCGCTGCAATCTGATTGGCTAAAACTTTAAATGGCTATAACTCCCTTGTTTTTCAATCAAACAGCATGGGATTTAGAACATAGACAGACGTAATGGACTCCTACAAGAAGGTATGGTCATCATGAGCATGCTTGCACGTGCATGAATGTGCGCTTTGCTCTGATTGGCTGAAACAAAATTCTCAATATCTTTTTTGTTTTTTGACGAAATGCTTTGAAATTTAAAATATAGACATGCTTTAGGATATCCTACAATATGATATATAATAATTTTCATCAAATCACGCGCATGCACGTGCGCTGCAATCTGATTGGCTTAAACTTTAAATGGCTATAACTCCCTTGGTTTTCAACCAAACAGCATGGGATTCAGAACTTAGATAGACATTATAGACTCCTACAAAAGGGTATGGTCATAATGCACATGCATGCACGTGCGTGCACGTGAAATGAGTAAAATTACAAATACACAAGATTAAACATATTTTTTGATTAAATGCTGTAATATTTAGTATATTAAAATATATGATTAGTGTAGACAAGATGATATGGTCATTACGCACATGCATTCAAATGCGCATGCGTGCAATGCTGAAATTGATTACCTCTGGGAAAACTTTGTTAAAATCTTAAATGTATCGCGTTTGTCTTATTTAATGAAGCTTACACGGAATATGGCACAAAAGGGAGTTGGGGAGCGTTTGGGGAACATCTGTAACGGTTCCCGTTACAATTAGCCCTAGTTATTATTATTTTTCTTCTTCTTCCTGGGTACTTTTTTGTCCGGGAATGATCTTGTAAACTGTTCGTCCGATGAAGGTAAAACCTTTTTATGGTTAGTAGACATGTTATGTAGATTTGCGGAATCAAGGTCATTTTGCGCGCACGTGCTTGCAAGAGCGCGCACGTGCAACACGTGAAATGACCAATATAATAGATATAGCCGCAACTTTTCTTTTTTTTGATGAAATGCTTTGAAACTCATAATGTGAGGATATATTAGTAGTATAGACATGATGACATCGTCAAACTAGCAAGATCTCACGCGCATGCACGTGCGCTTCGCTCTGATTGGCTGAAACTAAAGTCTCAATATCTTTCTTGTTTTTTGACAAAATCCTTTGAAATTTTGAACATAGTCATACATTATGAAGATCTACAGCATGATATATGACAATTATCATAAAAGCATGCGCATGCACATGTGCTGCAATCTGATTGGCTGAAACTTTAAATGCCTATAACTTTCTTGGTTCTCAACAGAACGGGATGAAATTTTGAATATGGATAGGTATGATGGATAACTACATTATGCTACTATCAGAATTGAATTCAAGGACACGCATGCATGCACGTGCACGCACACAATACGCAAAATGACCAATATATTTGATAAACTGTAACATTTATATTTTTACGATTTTTTTTTATTTATTCTTATATTCTTATTATTTTTTTATTTAAGAAATGTAAATGGTTTAGACAACATGCCATGATCATCTTGCATGTGCATGCACGTGCGTTCGCGTGCAATGAGTTAAATGACATATAGTCTGTATCATTGTAGCTTTCATAATTCTTATATGAAATCCTTTGATACTGAGCATATTTTAAAACTGTCTTACAGGAAAATGGCACAAAAAAGGATTTGGGGAGCGTTTGGGGAACATCTGTAACGGTCCCCGTTACAATTAAAACTAGTTTTGATTGAGATTAAATCGTATTAATGGTGGTCACTGTGTACCCTTCAACATCAGACCCATTCATTCGTGGGATCATGTAGAGTTTTAAAGATAAACTTTAAGGTATCACAAAGAAATCCACTGAGCTGATGTCAAACGAAAATTTACACATAAGATAAGAATGATTTTACATTGATTTTTCCTGCAAATCGCCTTAATCTGTGTGTTTGTTGATATTGCTTTACGGCCAGATATACATTAAGATGATGGCCTTTTTTTACTATTAAGGTAATGCTTTCTTAAGAAATATCAAAATAGTGCCTTACTAAGTCAATGATTTGTGGAGAATGGTAGAATAAAAGGAAATCAGACATGCTCATTGTTTATGGTGTTTTGATGACCGAGTGGACAATTCGGTATTTTACATGCATTAGAGGGCCAATCCATGGTCCTGTTTTATTTCAATTGTCCGACCAATGCACATACAAAGGGATTAAAACCAAATTTTCAGGGAGAATCACAAATTTTCTGTCGTTCGGGGAAAAACACTTTGATTGTTATTCATATCCTACAAATGTTTCAAAATAGACCTTTAAAAAGGTGCACTTTTATTTTGTTAGATAATGTGTGTTTTACATAAATAAGAAAATGAGGGGGGAAACGCATTGCTTTGTCATGTTCATATGCAAAGACTAGAGGCATTTAAATCCTGGATTCACATTGTCTGTCGTTATTTCTAATATTCTTACGGTTATGGAACATGTATAATCCAATGATCTGCAATATTTTCTACACGTACCGATACCAATAAAACTTGTCACTAATCCTTCTGCAAAAAACACTTTGATGCTTCAAATATTTCGGGTAAAGAAAAATGAAATAAAATTTGATATTGGTGCATGCTTTGTCGAACAAAGTTGTTAAATTTTTAAAAACAGGTAAAACATATTTAGTTATATTTGAAGATTACGTATACAGAATTAATTTATTTTTATAGTATGAATTTCAACTGTAACAATTGTCATCTAGGTAAAAACGGTGGGAAGCTGTATTTTCTACTTCATTAATTATACGCTTATCTCAAGTCTAGCTTTGACATTTCTCTTTTATATTATTTTTAAATGCATGTTATTATTTCAATTATTCAGTGATTTACTAAGGTCATACGATACATTCCTCAGGAATATTAATTTTTTTTCTTAATAATTCTTCATTGAAGCATTGCTACCTTAACAAGTTTTCTCACAAAAATTGTGGTACCTTACCAGGAATTTGTGCAAGACGCCAGATAATAACGATTCTTTTGTAATCCTATTAGAATTGTCAATATCCAATTTTTTGATTTTTTATTAATTTTGAGATCAGATATAGTTTAAAATTACACAAGATAATGACGATTTAAGAATTTTTTCATGACAAACAGAAGATACAAAAGAGATATTGGAGAAAGATTGTAAAGTACTCACCATCCGCCACCGGAAGTTGTCCCTGCTGTACCCTTAATCGACTCATCCTCCGCCTGAGCGCGTTATACTCGGTGTCAAGAGCGGAAGTGGACCGCACCAACTGTTGCTTCCCTGTCCTCGACATGTTCCTAACTCCCACCACCTCCAGACATTTATTGTCCAAAAACTCAGAAAACTGACCACTGGATTAGATAACACTTTGCTGGAGGAATGTTCTCAAATGAATCCGCACGTCCTCTCCTTTCGGGAACTTTACTGCTAACTGTAAGATAGAAATCGAACGTGAAGGGCGGATTTGCGTTAGCTATTTGGAGCAAGTGACCATATCTGTAATTTGCAAAACTAATTTTACGTTCAATTTACTGTTTTGAAGATAAGGATTTGGTTTTCGCGAAAACAATGACGACTTTTAACAGACTTTGTGATATAGAATATGAGCGTAGTAGAAAAACATTGGCTATTTAAATGACGTTCACCGCAGGTGACCACACTTGTTATTTCTACAACTTAATAAGTGATCGGAATGATTTTGAAAGTAAATCGATTTATAAAAGAAAAGATAAAATGCTTTTTGTTATTATTCTATTACCTAATTTATTGGATACTTTTAGCAGTAGTTCAAATCAGTATGAGATCACTGTCGGTTTTTCTTATTAAAATTCTTATTAAAATATTTTTTTTCCCATGCAGTTGCGTAATTTGATATTAGATTTATTACCCTCAGTTTTCTTTCAATGCTTCAAGATCTCGAAAATCTGACAAAGAAATATGCTAATCGTCAAAGCTTTAAAAAAAGATATCCTTTTTAAATTAAAAATGATAATTTTAAAAAGAAAAAATATTAATGCTATTTGATTTTTTAAATAACAAACGCTGCTCGTTTTAAATTTTATAAATTTCATGATTCTCGGAAGAGAGGTCCACACCGGCATGAAAACGTAATTAAATAATAGCAGGACAAATTTTGATCCTAGTTAGGTTAGTTCCATTGAAATTATAACAGCCCTCAACCTTAATTGAAAATCACTAATCGATAATATTCCACTTCTCAACACTCAAAAACGTCTTAAATTTTTTGTTAACTCAATATAAAATTGAAGTGCTTAAGGTTTCTAAAAGTTACAAAAGAAATAAAATAAGAGACTTTTAGAAGTTCTATACGGCAATGTTTACCAGATATTCTTCACTTACCTTTTGAGTTATCCTTTGATAGGTGTCTAAGATTATCAAACCACCCTTGCTTTGATGTTATAAGTCCGACTTGAGTCTAAAAGCTTTCGACTAATAATGACCCTCCTATCGCCGTCCCTTGTTCGCTTGCACTATTCAGTATTCAGACGAGGTATCCATCAATGCAGCTCCGCTATCGCCGGGGACCGCGTCATTCTTCTGTATGTTGGGTTATCTACTAATGCGGGTACGATAACACCGGTTCTTATATAGGCGAGAAAATGCGTAACGCCGTGTACTTCACTCTTTGTCGCTTGCACGTTCTAGTACATAAACAACTCTTATTTGTAATGGTATATCATAGCAAGGACTTTTGAAGATATGGTTAAGATTATCAAATTACGGTTAAGGACAATCAATTAAGTGTGTGCATAAGATCCTCTAAATAACAAGTCTTAGACTAAGTATTTCAAAACAATTCTAGATCTGAGTGATACCATTAAGTTTCTTGTTGGAGCCTCAAGAATGACGTGCTTCTTTCTTTTAATGACGTCTTCGCTTTCTCTCGTCTTTGTTTCTATGTATCTATTTCTTCAATATTCTTCTGAAAAACCACACAAGAGTGACAATGACAGAAAACAATTTTCACAGGAATAGTTTCTTGAGATTTCACGTTCAAGAAAATTGGTCCTAGAAAATTGGGGCACATTTTGCAAAGGAAAAAAAAACCTTCTGCTTCTTGTTATAATCAAAGTACTGAAAGTACTGAAAAGCGGTTAGCATGCTTTCATGGAATTTGACTGTACAGTGTAGACTAACAAAAAAATGCATTCAGTGATGATATTAAAGTAAGCATGCATATTTTTGTCCGATGTCATCAGCGAAGAAGCAGACACACTGACTTTTGTAGTACTGAACTAAATGGAAAAACCAATAACATCCCAGACTGATGTCACAAATGTATGTTTCAAAATATCAACCTGAGATTTTCAGTTTGAAAGACAGGAAGTTCAATTTCAAAAAATTCTTCCTAATTGTCTCCATTGGTGGCGTCCAAATGTGCTCAGAACGAAAAAAAAAATATGTTGATGTTGCAAATTTGATTGTCTTTCATGCTCTATTGACTCTGAAATTAGGTAACTGTAAAACCTACTCAAAAAGAAAATAAAACAAGTAGAGCTTTTCAAAAAAGCTTACTCTCTTTAGCAACAATTTTGAATAGTAAACAGATCTATACTTCTTTTGAATTTCTTGATTTTGTATTTCTAAATAAGCTTTTTACGGGCATTAGCCCTACCACGGTTGTCGCTCGGTCATCTCCGTAAACGTTGACTGGCCTAGAGCTTTCGGCAAACCTCGGCTGATTCCCATTCACTCTTCAAACAAGAAAGGGGAAAAGAATAATAACAAATTGTAAAGCCTGCAAGCAATAACTATCAAATTTTATTTATAATGAAATTAAAGAGACCTTTTTATTTATCACTATAAAACAGTAAAAACGCTATGTTATTAAGAATTAATTACTGCTGATTTTGTTGTTCGTTTTGTCATTTTTTAAAGATTGGAATTGTACGAAAAATATATCATCAGAAAGTTATCTTCCTTGCATTGAACAGCGTTTCAACCAATGAAATAATTGAAAATTTTCTCATCATGCAATTTCTACCAATCACAAAAGAGAGGAAGTGCATAGTCCGACGACTGTAAAAAAACTTCAACTATACAATACCGTCTTCCAAGGAAGACGGTAATGATAATTCAAATTCTTAAGATTAATTTATTTGGAGTTCTGTACATAGATCTTGAGCTGGCTAGTCTGAGGAAAACGGATGGACGAGCAGATAATTTGTAAATTAATTTAATTTCAGAGGGCTTCAGTTTCGTATGCTCACTGCGGGCCACCAGGTGTGACCTGTTATTGGGGATGCTTACTTCTCCTAAGCACCAGAACTTTCAAGGATCCGTTTTTCATTTGAGACCGATCACTATTCATTCTGTATTTTGATACAGATACTGAGAACATCTGTTTATTAATATTATGAACTATTTCTCTCACAGGAAGAAAGACAAGTAAACAAGATAATAAAGTTTTATAATCGTTTGTAATGATTAGACAGAGTACAGAATTTATCCCTGGAAACAAAGCTTTCATCATCTTTTAAATAATTTCAATTGAGAAAAAAGGAGAAGAAAACAAACGTTTCATTATGGAAGTAATCTATAACTGTTCAGCTTACAGATGCAGGGTTCTCCATGAGCTGTTTTACTGTGTTGCTCCCGACACAGCAAAATTTTCTACGACACAGTAACGATTAAAATTTTATGCATGCGACACATTTTTAAGGAACTCATAAGAATATCATCCTGTCCTGAAGTTTCCCTATTTTTTCCTTTGCAATTCGGTAATTTGATAAAAAAAAAAACGACAAAAAAGTACAACAAATTTACTTTCAAAAGTGGTAATTAGTTTGAATGTATCGATCAGAATTTCCCCTGCTTTTTATAGCACGTGTTTTTACTTTTATCAATATGTATGACGAAAATATTTGTATATCGAAATAGTGATTTATTTTAAAAAGTGTGCGCATATGTTCCTATATAAGTTTAATGAAAAGTAATTCAGTTGCAAATTTGATCTCGAAAATAGCGCGAAATTTTAGTGCTTCACGTAAACTCTGCAACACAGTAAAATTTCAAATGATGGAGAACCCTGCAGATGTATTCAGTTTTTTTTTTATATATAAAGCTTTCTTCATGTACTAGTATTACTTAAGTTAATTAAAGGGATGGCTAAATATTTTGGCAAGGAAAATGAAACTCGATCGAGAGATTCTCCGATGTTTTGCAGTCTGTAATAACCTTCAACCCCTAAAGCCAGTAATTAACTTGTCCTTTCTGTGCCAGTAGCATAATTCGATCAAATATTTATTGCTCATGAGGGGTGCCTTATAATTAATCACAGGCACCTGAATTTTTATCAGTAAGTCTCTAAATTAGCCAAATATCGAAACATTCTACCCCTCTATGTACAGTTTAGATACACAAGGTGTGCAACGCCATTTTGACCCCCTGTTCAATTCAGGCTTCAATTTAACACATAAATCGGATATGCCTACTGGTTTTTGTGTAGCATTGGGTTCAAATATGATATTTCTCGCTATATGTTTCTTCCTTAAGTTTAAATCCAACGCGTTGATAATGTTATCAGCTAAACTTCATGCTGACTTCAAATTTCGTCACAGGGCCTGATCGCCATCAGCTGACGTCACGGAAATTTAATCTCGACACCAAATGCCCCTATACATAAAATTTTAAAATACAACAATAAATTTATTTCATTGACAAACAAAATCAGATAAAAATTAAAAACCGAAAGATTATGTTGTTTTGATAGTCTTGATTTTATTTAACATATGTTATATGTGTTAGAAACAAATCATTGGTAGAGGCTTTGTTGAAGTTTCTGTTGTCGATAGGTAGCGCCTTATGGAGGTTTCCGGTTGCCGACACATGCCATATAGCGGCTAGCGAAGCTAACCGCTTAAAAAGCAACCTCAAAACTTCAATGATTTGCTACACTATATTTTCACCCTTTCATACTTTGTTTGAGAAGATAGACTTGTTGATAAGCTTTAATTTTAATAGTCTGGGTAAAGAGATAAAAAAAATTATCATTTCAGAAAGTTGTGCTACTTGATTTTTTTTCTCCTTTTGCCACTTGCATCCTATTTCACATGACCTTACACAGAGATACAAATGAATTCATAAAAAAACTGGGGGTTTTCTCTCTCTTTTTTCTAAAATTTCTAATCTCTACTTTTTTAAGGAAATCCATAACATGTTCGAAGCCAACTACGAACTGCTTACTACCACCAGCAACTTTCACCATTCATTTGCATACGATATAACGCACTATATTCTCATATGTATGCATGCAAAAAAAGACTCTTTAAAAACTGAAGTTTTCATTTTGAAAAAAATCAACAAGGGTGGATCTAAGAAGGGGATAATTTCATTTGAACAACATTAATTCCTGATAAGCAAATAACCGAATCCTATTCCTCGTGGTTGGAAGATAGGGGATAGAACTCTAACGTAAAAAAATTGAAATCTTTAAATGTTTAAGTTAGGTAAGAGGAAATGGGCATTTGAATGATATACAAATTATCACCAAAAAGGGTCCTGAGTAAATTCATCTTCCCAAGTCTAGAGTTTCTGGTTCACTCTGCTCCGCGGAGGGGAACAAATAAGAAACCTTTGACCTGGGAAGATGGGATAATTGAAGTGTAGCCAATCAGGCGCTTTTCCACAAGAAAACTTATAGAATTACTTTTGCACCCTAACCCCGTGTTTTACTTTCGTATGTATCCCTTCTGCTGCAATGAAGCTTTTGGGTCATTTTGCTTATCAAAAACTTTTTGAATCTTTCAGAGTAAACACTTCTTCCATCTCCTTCCTTGAATAATATTCCTCGACCAGCACTCTTTTCTATTATTGATACCTATGTAGTATACATTTAAGCATGCTTATATAAAAATGCAATTGGCAATATCTTTTGAAAGCGGAACTAGCAACAATCATGAAATGGTTGACAGAAAGTAATTGATTGATGCATATTCCATTTCTTTTTGCTGCCCTATTTGAGCCAAATATTCCCAGTGAAAATGTTGTAATCGCAAATCAAATATCTGGAAAAAATGTACTTTTTTTTACCCTTCCTATTTTTTCTTTCTGTGAAATATGTTTTTATGGTAGAAGAGAGTGCACTTGGTCAGCTGCCTACACGGGAGCTATTGTCGTACGTTAGTTCTTCGTCATCGCAGCCATTACAAAATGGCCGCCGGTAACTAATCACTCATTTTTGTCTTTTTTACCAATTAATGACACCGGCTTCAATCATGATCAAGCAAGTTAAGCGATTATCTACAATTATCGACATCATTTAGGATCGATTTAACCAATTTTTCACAAACGTGGTACGTTTATTTTTGCTGTTCTGTTTTGGTTTACACCCTTTGTTTTGGCAATTCATACAAAAGGCAAAATTGTAAAACAAATCAGGTTTGGAAGTGGCAAAATAAAATGTGTCTTGATCTGTATTATAATATAATATAAGATTTCAGTTCTGTTTTACATACAATGGGTATCGTCCTTGTCAGCCCTTTGTTATCTAGATCATGCATGCGTTTTCCTTAATAGCTTTTTACGCCCTGATTAGAACAAGACAAGGACATTGAAGAAATTGACAG